GGCGAGGGGAGCCGTGCGGGTGCAGGGGGGGACGGACGTGCCTCGACCAGCCAGGCTGGTGCGACAGCCGTGTTGGCGAGCAAAGGAGACACGGCGTAGAGGAGCTGGCACCGGCGCGGGCGCGCTACCGGCCAGACGGCGAGCGTCAAATTGGGAGGACCTAACCCGTGCAGGCCCCGACGAGTCCGTGCTCGGTCCGGCCCGGCTCGAGGTCGTCACGAATAATTTGGGAGATGGGATTAATCGCACGGGTGGGTTGATATTAAGCCGGGGGTGGACGCTGGAGCCGCCACGACCTCGATATGTTTGCAAAGTGGAGAAAGTCAACAAGGACGAGCGCAGACCTGCCCTTGCGTCGGAGCGATTAAACACGCCAATGCGAAGCAGCGAGGGACTGGCCGGGCGGGCCGCGGGCAAGGACCGGAGCAACAGTATGTCACGAGCCGAACGTGAGCCAACAACGTCCGATACCGCATAGAAAAGCGTCCGCGCCCCGGGGTCGTGAATGGGAGCGTCGCGTGCGAGTCCGGGGCAGCGATTCTGCTCGGCGCTGGTGTCCACGGACAAATGGGGAAGCGTTCAGAGGAGAGCACGGGTCTAGACAACGTGACGTCTGAGGACAGGTTGCAAACGCTTGGCTCAGTCTAGACGAGAGAAGACTGGGTGGGGGGATCGGATAGAAGCAAGATACATTTAGGTACATCTTTTACTGGACTAACTACAGCTGGGAGAGACGTTAGCCAAGTGTCGGGCACAAAACGCCCTTTCCCGGTGTGCTCAAACAAGCGGGCACGGCCAAAGTTAAATGCCAGATAGAACAATATGACGTGTTTTATCCTGTGGGGAGTCTGATAAGTCTTCAAACACAGACCGGGTTTGTTTGACCAGGGCAACGGTTCCCTGCTCTGTGTCCTCAAGGGTTGGAGGAGAAGTGACTGCAGCCGGGCAGGCCAAGTTTGGATACGAGGAAGGACTTTCTCCCCCTGAAGATGGTTCTGCGCTGGGGCAGGTGCCCGGACTGGTGACGAAAGCTCGGTCACTAAGTGTGGATTGGACAAACCTCTGTCTGGTTCAGATGGTGCTGGCCCTGCCTGGAGCAGGGGGTTGGACTAGGTGCCTCCCTCAGCCAGGTTTCTTTGGACTCTGTGACCTCCAAGGGCACTTCTGTTTTTAGCATTTTCTGAAGTGGCTGCCCTTTGCCTGGGTCTCAGAGAGCACTGCAGAGCCCAGGGAGTTAGGCAGAAGAGCTGCTTAGCAGTTCAGCTGAAACTGCCTTCGCTGCTGCTGCTGACGCACACCCGTGAGCGCTCCCAAATTCCACGCACCGCAGCTGTGGTGCACAGCAGGGGGGTTTTGGCTGGCCCTGTGAAACGTTTGCCCCACTTTCCAAGAGTGGGAGCACACGCTCCTGCTGTCTGCCCCCTGCCCCTCTTAGCCCTGGGCTGTCCTGCAGCGTGCGTGCATGGGCTGGCTGCTGCACCTTCCACCTCAGAGGGTTCTGCTATTTGCAGGGGTAGGGAGCTCCGCACAGAGGGGAGGCATGTGCCAGGGCTTCGGAGGAGCCCGTCATCCTAAAAAACACCCCTCGGCTGAACAGAGGCTGCGTCTGCCTGTGTGTGCCCGGCTCAGTGGCGGGTCGCAGCCCTTCCCTGGTGACTGGGCAGTGCGAGTGCTTCTTGCTGATTAGGCCTCAGAAGCAGCAGGCAAGGGAGAGCAGATGGAAGCTCCCTGTTGGCTGGTGCCAGGAGGTACATGGTCTTGGGAGATCTACTTCTTTGGAGGGGTTCTAGAAACAATCCACTGGGAGGAGAGTGACAGGTTCACAAGGATGCCCAGGCCCAGGTGCTGCCCTGGTGCCAGTGCTCTGTGAAGCTTGGATGCACTCGAACAGGGGGAAGGGGTAGCAATGCTCCTGCTGTAGCCAGAACTGCCCTCATGCTGCCCCCCACCCTTGCCCAAGTTATCCTGTGGGCTTGACCTGCTCTGTCTCCCCCTCAGCATCCCCTGCCTGAAGGCACTGGGCAGGCCACGTGTCCACGTCACTGCAGCGATGCATCCAGCCCTACGCAAGGACCAAAGAGCTCCTTTCCACCAGTCAAGACCAAGCATCAACATGTCAGAGCACGGGAAGAGGCAAATCTGAGTCCTTAGGTGAGAGTGACTGCCTGTCTTGCACGTGATCCCTCTCCTCCCTCCCTCCCAGTTCCAGTGAATGGGGATTGTCCTCACCCAGTTCCATCCCCATATGTACTGTGGGTCCATGGGGGAAAGCGGAGTCTGTAGGGCCTTGGGTCTCTGGCTGTAGGGTTCCTTGTGCTGCCAACTTTGGCCACATTGCTTCATGGGGCCACGTGCCCTTCTTCCCTGAGCTGCTGTGCCAGTCCTGTGTCTGCAGCTGGGGAGGAAGGGGGATGTGCCACATGCCCACTGCACTTGGCTGGGGTGGGGTGGGTGGGGGAGAGAGGGAAAGGGGAGTTTAGGTCACAGCCAGGATGCCCAGGTTAGTCCAGCAGGACCAGGGCCCCCTTTAAGGGGCCAGGCCTGCACCAGCCTCTTCCTCTACGCAGCCGGATCTCCCGAGTGCAGGGGGAGGCCTGGTGCTGAGAAGTTTGCACCCCTGCTGCATGCAGTCCTGGGGGGCCAGGGCTGGAGGCCAACATTAGCAAGCAGTCAGAAGGGCATTGTGCCCAGTTTGCATCTCAGTCCTACCCGGGTGTCTGCACAGCATCAGCTAGACCCTGTCGCCCCTCCCTGAGAAGTGGCGCTGTCTCCCGGCACCATGATCCGCCGACTGCTGGACCGGCCGTGCACCCTGGCCCTACTCATAGGATTCCAGTTTGCTTTCATGGCCTACTTCTCGCTGGGCGGTTTCCGGAACTTGACCTCCATCTTTGGGCGCGAGTCCATCCCCGTCTTCGACTACTCCCGCACTCGTGACGTGTACACCAACCTGAGCCGCCTGCTGCCCCCACGTGGCACCCCACCAGGACCCCTGCCCTACTGCCCAGAGCGCTCACCCTACCTCAGTAAGTGGGGCTGTGGGAAGGACTATGCTGCCTTACTCTCTAGGTGGCTCATCATGCATGGACCCAGCTGGCTCTTGATTGGGTTAGTGACTGTTCCAGCAGACATGAGCAGAGTTCACAGAATTGGCCGCTCAGCCAAGGCTGGCTGGTGCAGCAAGGTTCAGGGGCATCCTGAGGGTGCAGCCTGGGAGCAGGACTTGCCAGGAGACTGGTCAGTGCTACCTGGGAGCCACTTTACCTTCTGTGCTCTCCTGTGCCATTGGTGGGTGCTGTCCTGCCCTTGGGGCATGCTCAGAAGAACACTCACCCCAGACCAAACAACATCTAGAGCAGGGGTGGGCAAAACACGGTCCACAGGCTGGATCTAGCCTGCCAGTTGATCTTTTTTCCAGCCTGCAGGTAGGTGGCAGCACCATGTGGCAGGTCCTGGGCAAGCCACAGTCAGGCTCTGGCCTCTCCTGGCAGGTGGTGCAGGTGACGGATCCGGCTCCAGCTTCTGCTTGCATCACAGGGGATGCTTGGCGGAAGCAGCCCCTCCTGCCCACCTCTGCCCCTGGGGGATGGAGCTTAGCCACAGACCTCTGTGCTGTCCCATCCTCCCTTGCCAGCAGGGCTCCTGGGAGCCATGGCAGAGGGGAAGGGAGAGGGGAGTGTACCTACTCCAGGAGCCCTGATGGCGGGGTGGGAAAGCATAGAGGCCTGCGGCCAGGTTCCATTCCCTGCCCCCACAGCCGCAGACGTGGCTGGTTATGGGAGGGCAGGCCAGGTGTGGTAATACCCCAGGCAGGAGTATGCTCCTGCTCCTGTTGCTGCTCTGGCACAAGCCTTGGCTCAGCTGTATGGAGCGTGCATGCGCATGTGTGTGCATATGTTTGTGTGTGCAGCCCTCAACAGATCACCAAAACTCCTCAAGTGTGGCCCTCCAGCCCAAATAATTGCCCACCCCTGTTCTAGAGTGTGCCTCTGGCCGTGTTTGGCAGCCATGTAGCTGTTGAGCTTGTAGTGTCAGGCGTCACTGCCCTTCTGATGGGACCCCCTTGAAGCACTGCCCTTGATGGGACTCCATCCCCTCCTGCAGTAAGCAGGGCACAGCAGCATTGGCCCACAAGTCCAGAGCTGCCAAGGCGAGTGCATGGAGCTGTGAGGGTGGCTCTAGCACAGGTTGCATGTGCCCCCAAGGTGTGAACAAGACTGGGAGCATATGAGACTTGCTTGGACATGTGTGCAGGGAGGCAACCCAGGGTCGATCCTCTTGTGGGTAGGTGGGTGTACATCAGGCTCTCTGTGGTGGGCACCTGTGAAACCTGTGTTACCTCCATATCATTGGCTTGGCCAGGATAGGGAGAGCAGCAGGGCAGGTTAGCAGGGGCCAGTTGGGTGTGGCTGGCACGTGGATCGTCCCCTGTGCTGAGGCAGGCATGGAGGCATGGTGCAGGTATGGACGCCTTGGGGTTCATGTCCCTGCATGGGCAGGCAAGGCATTTGTCCTTGCAAGGGCACAGGCAGGGCTCTGGCTCCTATTGCTGTAAACGATCCCCTGGTGCCGCTGACTCAGTCCCTAGTCGCGCCAGGGCTGAAACCGCTGACTGTCCCTGGGCAGCCGTTGCTGCTGGGTGAGCAAAGGGCAGACTCCCCTGCCCCTGGGAGCAGCCGCCTAGCCAGCCCTCATGCAGCTGAGGCTCTATTGGCTGGCTACCAGGCCTGCTCTTCCTGCAGCCCCCGCTGCATGATGAGCCCCCTGGTGCAGCGGTGTCCTGCTCTTTCATGGGCCCTGGGCACCCAGTGGGGGCAGAGCTGGTGCAGCTGCGACAGGCTTCCAAGCAAGGATGAGTCTGGCTCAGTCCAGGGCCATGTTGAATTCGGGGCCACCTGGTCATGGTCTTGGGGCCCTTGCTGTGGGTAAGGGCTGCTTGCAGTGTGGAGCATGGTCAGCACAGCCAGTGCTGCTTGGCAGTCCAGCATGTAAGCACGCTGGTGCTGTGTGTGTGTTTGGCGGGGGGGAAATGTTCTGGGCAGGGTGAATGCAGGTGCTGAGGCCCCATAGGGGTGTGGTGTGGGGGCAGGCTGAGCTCTGCTCGGGATGCCAATACCAGCCTTTGTCCCCATGCAGTTGGCCCCCTGACCGTGAGCTTCAGTCAGGTGCCAACCCTGGAGCAGATCCAGGCAAAGAACCCGGCGGTGAGTGTAGGGGGGCGGTACCGGCCCCTGACCTGCGAGCCACGGTCCCGCACAGCCATCATTGTCCCACACCGCAACCGGGAGATGCATCTGGGCCACCTGCTGTACTACCTACACCCCTTCCTGCAGCGCCAGCAGCTGCACTACGGCATCTACGTCATCCACCAGGTAGGCTGCCTCTGCTCGTGGCCGGGAGGCTGCCCCTGCTTGCGGCCGTGGTGGGGGCAACCTCTGCACCCTGGCAGCACTCCTGTGCCCCTGTACTCCCTGCCCTCTCTGCCTGTTTTTCTGCAGGCTGGGAATTCCACTTTCAACCGGGCCAAGCTGCTGAATGTGGGGGTGAAGGAGGCCCTGAAGGACGAAGAGTGGGACTGCCTCTTCCTGCATGACGTGGACCTTATCCCTGAGAATGACCACAACCTCTACACCTGCGACCTCTGGAGCCCCAAGCACGTCTCTGTCGCCATGAACAAGTTTGGCTACAGGTGCGTGGGGGCAGGGGCTGGGGGGACCAGGGGGAACAAAAATGCCATGTGGGGCTGGTGGCCTGCCATGCTGGCTTTGCTGGGCTCTTGGCCCTGCCAATACTAGTCTCCTGGATGCTCCTGCAGTGTGGAGAGTGCTGGGGTTAGCTTGTGACTGCCTGGGGAATAGGTTCTGCCAACTGACCCTGGGAGAGTGGCTCTGAACTGGCTCACTGGGGGCCCTAGGGCCATTGGCTGCAGAGTCTGAGCGGCCCCTTCCTCTCCTTGCAGCCTCCCATACCCCCAGTACTTTGGTGGGGTGTCAGCCCTGACTCCGGACCAGTACATGAAGATCAACGGCTTCCCCAACGAGTACTGGGGCTGGGGCGGGGAGGACGACGACATTGCCACTCGGTGAGTGCCTGCATGTCCCTGCCTGCCAGGCCTTTCCTGCATGTCTGCAACCTTGCTCCACTGCCCGGCTTGCTGGGGTCAGTGCCGTAGAGTCATGGAGAGGTGGGACTGGAGGGGAGCTGCAGAGGTCACATCTAGTCCAACCCCCAACCTGAGGGAGAATCAGCCCTGTCCAGGCTATCCCAGATGACCATAATCTAAACTGCCCCCATGCTAAGGGCCTCCCCACAGCCACCACGAGCTCTTGGCCTGGAGTGTGGGTGCAGCACAGCTCAGGGCCTGAGGAAGCACTTGACCTGCAGAAGGGGAGGGAAGAAGGAGCCTCTGCAGGAAATCCCAGCAGCTTTGCCCAGCTGCGAGGACTGCTGGGGTCTTCCTGTTCTTGTGATGCTGTCCATGGCTCTGGGCTGGGCTGACTGGCTGCACCTGCGTGAGCAGCATTCAGTCCTGCCTGCCACAGCTTCCAGGGATGGGCAGAGGGAGCCAGCAGGGCTGCAGGCTCTGTCCTAGTACTGGGGAGAAGGGGCTGCATGGCACACCTGGCTCCTAGGGGAGCAGGCCCCGTCAAGGTGTGGTTTCCCGGTTGCTGGGCACAGTGACAGCGCTCAGGGTGCCCCGAAGGCCTGGATTCCTGCAGCAGCACATATGTCTAGAGTTATTCCATTCCCCTGCCTCCTCCCTGCCAGGGTCTGACTGCATCTCCTCTCTGCCCCCTCACCGTGTCTCTCTTCTCTCCACTCCTCGCTCTCGGGACTTTTTGCATGCATCTTTCTCACACAGGGCCCTTCCCAGCTGCATGAAGGTAGGTCACAGTCAGATTGTAGGCGTACAGTACCAGCAGGCAGGGAGGGGGCACACTGTCACAGGGGAGGGGCAGTGTTCTGACTGTATCTGGGTGCTGTCCTGGCCAGCTGCCTCTGGTTCCATGCTAAGCAGCTTCTGCCTGATTCCATGGTGCTGGGCCATGGCAGCTGTGGTTGGAGGCAGTTCACTGACTTCCTCTTGCTCCTCCCTGTGGCCACAGGCCCTGGCACAGCTGGCTGCCAGAGCAGGTGCTGGTGGCTCCAGGATGTAATGGCTAGAACCTGCCCCCGACACTAAGTGTGGGGAAGTCTGCAGCAGGCACCCATGTGGGCCCCGCTTGGCCCTGCCTCTTCCCATCCCACTGGGCTGGAGAGGCCTGCCTTGGACCAGAATGTGGCAGCAGGGGTGCTGCCTTTGGCCTTGGTGGAACACACATGTTGGGCTGTAGCTCCAGCAGCGGCTGCCTGGGGGAAGTTGAGGCCTTTGAATGTCCTGGCAGCCTGGGAGGATGCAGTGAGTGGCTAGGGCCGTGGGGGTGCTGGAGCTCAGTGGGCACTGGCACCTGCTCCCTGGTGCCACACTGAGGTGCATGCTCCCCGCAGGGTGCGTCTGGCCGGCATGAAGATCTCGCGTCCACCCGTCTCCATTGGCCACTACAAGATGGTGAAACACAAGGGAGACAGGGGCAATGAGGAAAATCCCCACAGGTGAGTGGGGCACAGGACCTGTGGGCCTTAAGCTCAGGCTCCAGTGTGTGGCACCACTGCTCCACCCATGGGCACAGGGCCCCCTCAGCACTGCTGCACATGGTGCTGGGATAGGCCTCTGGCGCTGGACTGCTCAGAGATGGAGGGGGACTGCCTGGGGGCTGGCAGCAGGGAGGCACCTGGGGGGATCACAGGGGGCAGATGCCCCGCGTCAACTCCAGCCTCCCTACAGATTCGACCTGCTGATCCGGACACAGCACATGTGGACACAGGATGGCATGAACTCGCTCAGCTATGTGCTGCTGGCCAAGGAGCTGCGGCCCCTCTACACCAACATCACTGTGGACATCGGGGTCAACCCGCGGCCCCTCAAGGGTCGCAAGGGGCCTGGACCACAGCCTGGCTTTGACGGGCAGAAGCACAAGAGCAGCTCGAACCACGGGTTCAGGCAGGAGATGTTGCGCACGCTGCCCCGGGCCACGGCAGGCTGGGGGGAGCGGCTGCCCCCTGTGCGCAAGGGGGTGGGGACAGGTGCCAGCCAGAGGGTACCCCTAGCTCCTGAGACACGGAGCCAGGAGCCTGGAGCTGCTGCAGGCCAACTTGGAGGCAAGGAGGGGGCTCTACAGAATGGCAGCCAGGCACAGACCAGAGTGGGAGTTGCAGACAGCCCTAGGCCTCAGCAGGGAGGAGCCCCTGCCCTTGGCAAGGCTGCTCAGCCCAGCCTCAACCTGCCCCCACATGGCCCAGAGGCCTCTGGGAAAGGGAAAGGGAAGCTGGACTTAGGGGACAGTCACCCAGAGACAGACAGGGGTAGAATGCCCCTGGACCTGATGCCAGCCAGGATGCTCCAGGCTCCCCGGAGCCAGGGGGACAATCAGACGATGCTGCCCAATGCACGCTAGGCAGTGGCTGCCCATGTGTGCTGGCAGGTGGGAGCTGTTTTCAGGGACTTGCTCCCTCAGCTGGCTCCTCCGGGGAGTCTTGGTAGCCCCACCTGGGTGCTGTCCCTGGGCCTAAGTCAGCCCTCAAGGCTCGCTGCTTGGGGCTCTTCCCTGGGCCAGCAGCAGGGAGCCAGCATTGCAGGTGCCGGCAGGCCACAGGACTGGACCAAGGCCTCCAGCTGTGACCCTGCTGTTCTGGCCCCCAGGCCTGGGCCTTCCTGCACCAGGGTTGCCCAGGCTTGTGTGCTGGCTGTGATCCCTCTGATGGGAACCTCCCCCTGCCAACTTGACTGTGCGAGGCTGGGCCCTGCCTGGGAAGCCCAATCTCACAGCTGAGGGTTGTGCTGTCCCAAGGTGCCCCGAGGTAGTACCCTGTCTAGGTACACAAGTGGGGTGTGGGGGAGGTAGGTCAGTGGTGGGTGTCCCTGTGGGAATCTGCTCTTCCAGCATCCCAACGCAGGTCTGGGGAGAGCTGCAGCAGAGCAAGCTCTGCCCAGCAGCTGGGTCATGAGCCATGCTGTGCCCAAGCTGCTGCAGAGCAACAGTAGAGGATAGGATTGCCCCTGCCTTAGAGTTGACCTCCCTGCCCTGACTCCCACTTTCGCTTCAGCTCAGCACCTGCTTCCTTGCAGTGCTGTAGCTGGGGCTGGGCTGACCTAACATTGGAGCCAGAACCCCAAGCCTTGTGCTGCTCCTCATAGCCTGCTGTCTGCTCTGCCTGCCTCTCCTCCCATGGTGCCTGCTGTGGCAAGTGCCATATGGCTCAGGGCTGTGTGGCAAGAGACCCTACCCCTGCTGGCTGGAGTCCTGCCTGCACCCCTACTGCAGGGCCAGCCACAGAACAGCCTGCTTCCAGGGGACGGGAGCACCCCTCATCAGGGCAGGTGTCTGCCTTGCATAGTTCTGCAGCACAGGGCAGTGCCAGTCCTGTCCTGGAGCCACAGGCCCAGTGCATGCATGGAGCTGGCCAGAGCTACCTGGGCACTTGCAGGGGTGGTGAGGTTCCTCTTGCCACAGGTCACCACCTCTAGGGGGCAGAATTAAGTGTGTGCCTGTGCTGGACCCCCTGGGCCTGCATGAGGTCAGCCAGTCCTTGACATGGGAGCTGGGCTGGGGCAGTAGTAGCTTTCCTCCAGAAGCCCCAAAGCTGGTGCTTCCCAGTGAGCAGAGTCAGCGCCTCGCACTGCTCCCAGCCTGTGCCTGCCTCCGGGCCCCACACTTGTGGGTGCTGCTACATTGGACCCAGTGTCCCCCCCCTCCCCATAGCCGCTCGCATCCAGTCCCTGGCCCCGCGTGCGACTATTTATTCTATTTATGAACAATCGGCTGCAGCAGCACTGGGGGTTTGTTAGGGTTTTTCAATAAAAACTTTGTCTTGCAGTAGCCTGCCCCCACTCTGCAACCCTGGGCCACTTTTAGGGAGGGGCACAACCAATGGCTCACCATGGAGGGGAAGGGGCAGTGGGCTGTTCACCCCAGGGAATGGGGGCTCGTGTTGCAGGAGCGAGGTGCAGACCTGGAGCCTCAGCTGCTCGCGGCCTGGCCCTGTGCTCCCTTGGCAGGGGCAGTTGCTCACTATGTGGCAGCAGTCTGTGGCTGGTTCAGTTACTTGAGCAGCAGGAACCAGGCTCAAACCAGCACAGGACTTAGGCAGCAGGGAGGCCCAGGAGTGGTGCGACAGCCCCAAACTGAGTTTGCTGCAACAGCAATGAGGGGCTGTTTGTCCTGGGAGGGGGAGAGCCAAGGCTCTGGGGCCTGCTCACTTCCAGTACAGTGGGGAAGGAGAAGGGGCTGTAGGCCTTTGTGCTCCTGGCACTCTGCCCTCACTGCTTGCAGGGCTGCCTGGACCTGCCCTCTGCTCCTCTGAGCCTAGGTGCTGCTGCTACCAGCCCTGAGGCAGCAGAGCCACAAATCCCTCACAGACTGTCAGCCCAACATGGGTGTGTGCTTGTGTGCCCCACCCCCTGCAGAGACTGTCCACCATGGCATGCAGGAGCCTGCCTCCAGGGCCTGAGGCAGCACACGCCAATCAGCAGGCCTGGCCTAGGAGCCTGGCCACAGCCATCTTGGCACTGTAGAGGCAGTCGATCACGGAGACACCCTCATAGGAGGCCCCGACCAGGCTCAGCGGCAACCCCTCCTGCTGTAGGTACCGGGTGATGGTTTCTGCCAGGAGATAGGAGGGCCTGAGCACCTGGCAGGAGACAGTGCCTGCTCCCTGCCTGGCCTCAGTGGGTGCACAGCCATGAGCAGAGGGCTTGGCTGCAGGTGTGCATGTGCCCACCCCCTTCCCACCTCCCAGCCTGGCTTCAGCACTCCACCCCTGCCCAGGGGAGAGCATGGAGCAGGAGGAACAGCACAGCTCAGCCTTACCTATCCTCTGGCAGTGGCCAAGTGTGTACTGGGGGAGGCAGGCCTGTGGATGGAGCAGAGACCAGAACTGAATGCAGGCCTGGCCAGTGGGGCCCTGCCCTGCCCCACCCCTGCCCGCTCACCCCTACCTTGTGCACCATGACGATGGAGTGGGAAGGCGTAGCCAACACCCCCAGCTGCGTCCTTACTGCCTCTTGGGCTTGGTGCAGCAGCGTGGCTGGCAGCACGGTCTCTGGGTCCCCGAAGCTCTGGGTGAACCACGCGCCTCCCAGCATCACCTGCCAGCACAGCACAACCCTCCTAGGAGGAGCCAGGCCCCACGCCACCCACCCAGCCCTAGGGAAGGACACAGAGCACCAGGCCCCTGGGCCAGGACACCTGGTGTGGTGCAGACCAGAGCCTGTCCCGGCCGGACAGCGCAAGGCCGTGGGGCAGAGGCGCAGTAGCCAACGTGCCATCACTGGGGCCTGAGCCACCTGCAGGTTCCAGGGTGCGGGCAGATCCCAGCAGCCCCTGGCATGCTCCTCAGGTGGAGCTGGCACTCACCGTGAGCCGGATGGAATTGCCTTTGGCACCGTTCTGCTCTGGAAAGGCCACCGAGTCATAGACAATGCCCAGCAGGGAGCTGTTCTCAAAGGAGGGCACCAGGTGCCCGAACCCCTAAATCAGAGACAAAGGGATGGCCATCACCCCACAGCCAACAAAAATGCCCCTGCCTGTGGTCCCGTCCCACCCCCAGGGCTCAGCCTTCTCCAGTGTTCACGCTCACACATGGGCCTGCTGCCAGCCCCTCCTGGACAACCACCTCCTCCCCCAGAAGCGCCTGGGAGCCCCAGTACAGGGTGGGCCGGGATGCAGACCGCTCCTGACATGAGGCCCCGGTGACAGGCACAACACATGCCTGCAGGGGATGCTACGAGGGCTGGGGCCTTCCCGCTCAGCCCATGGGATACAATGCTGGGATAGCTCTGCGCTATGCCAGGGTTGGGCAGGGCCACATCTCACCGTGACGGGCAGCGTGGCATCATCGTACTGCAGGTTCACCACCCCCACCGACACCGCCTGGATGCCGCGCAGCGCCTGAGCCAGCGGCCTGGCCTCATCTGGGAGCAGGTCGGCCAGAGCTGCAAGCAGAAACGTTGGCCAGGACCGGCCCGGGCTCCAAGCCCCTCCACTTACATCAGCCCCAGCCCCTGAACCTGCCAGGGGAACCTCTAAACCTCGCTCTTCCCCAGCTGCCGAGAAGCCCTCCCCAGCCCCAGGTGAGGTCTCGCTCCTGCCGCAGCCTGGGAGAAAACTCATGAGTCCTGGCTCCCTGCTCCCACCATGAACGCACGCTCGGCTCCAGACAGGCTGAAGGCCGGGTGGGGTTTCACAATAGGAAACCTGGGCACCCAGCTCTCTCTGCTCCAGACCCCATGGGATTGGGGCGACCCCAGCATAGCCCCCCCACCTCCAGCCGGGATGGCACTGATCACGTGGTCTGCCATGATGCTGCCGTCCTCCAGGATGATCTAGGCAGGAAAGGGGCAGTCAGAGCAGAGGAACCTGGGGATCCCAACACCCCTTCCCAGAGACATCTGCCCTGGTGGGGAAGGGCCTGAGCAAAACCAAGGCACCACGGGGACTGGCAGGCGCTCAAATACAACCCAGTCCCCACCCCTTACATAGCCCATTCCCCTCCCAGAGTGGGGCTAACAACCCAGGAGTCCTGGCTTCAAGCCACCTGCCTCCACTGTCCGGCTCTAGCCCGTGACAGCCAGGCCTAGCACTTGGCTGGGCAGTGCTGCGGGGCGAGCAGGCTCTGCAGGTCCAGGTTCAAAGGCCTAGGCCTCCCCCGTTCCATGATATCCCATCCGGGGTGCAGGTGGGATGTCCTGGGAACCACTGCTCCCTCCTACCTGCCAGCGCTGGTCGGCCGTCCGCTGCAGGCGCTTTGGGGCCGCGTGGCAGTGCAGCTCCACGCCATGGCTGTGCGTGAAGTCCAACAGGGCCTCAGGCAGCGTCTCCATGCCGCTGCGCAGCGACCACTGGCTCCAGCGCTCGGCGCGGGCCCTGCGGATCAAAGCTGAATCCAGGGCTGGGCCCTTCCCTGAGGGAGGCGAGAGTCCATGTGCCAGCGCCCGGCTGCCAGGCACCTAGGAGCCCCATCAGGCCTGCTCTGCCCAGTGGTTCCCGCAGCCCTCCCGTCTCCCAGGGCCAGGACAGAGCCCCCAGCCAGAGCGGCCCCCCATGCCCATGCCGGGTAGGGTCTCACCTGCCCCCAAGGCCATGCCCAGGAGGACGGAGCGGTGCCTCTGCTCAGCCTCGAACAGCGCCGGGAAGCAGGAGCGCAGGCTCAGCGCCCGGCAGTCCCCAGCAAACACCCCGCGGCACAGGCTGTCTATGGCCACGTCGGCCAG